CAAAACTTTGGAATGTTGTTCCTTATTATATTAGAAATTCAAAATCGTTGAATCTTTTAAAAAATATTTAAAGAAGTATTTATTTAAAGAAGCTTTTAGTTGTTAAATATCGAATTACATTAGATGAGATTATAAATTTTTTGTACTTAAACTACACTATTCATTTTTAGATATTTTATTGACATATGTTTAGCATACATATTATTTTATGATTGAATTTTTTTCTTTTTCTACTTATTGTTTTTTTTTTCAGTTAGATTTTTGTAACATTTTAATTTCTGCGCTGATGAAAATGTCTATTGATATTAGCGCAATATAAGTTAATATTCTTAATATTCTTAATAGGGCACCCCTGGCCACTTCTATGATTAATTGCAAACAAATGTTTCTAGAAGTCGAAATACTACGGACAAATGAAGGAAAACATGATGTTTGAGCAAGCGGAAAAGCGGTTAACACAAATTCTTAGGTCTTTATCTTTGAAATTTTTTTCGTTCTCTTTGATATATCCTACAATGGTACTTTTCCTGATTTTCATCGATGCAGGGCTAAGATGAGGTAGATTAGATTTTCTCTAAACTTTGAAAAGAGTCTTTACAACCTTCCTTAATTCAATAATTTTTTTTATTTGAATTTAAAGCATGTTGTAGTCTGGGTCAGTAGAATATGATTCCGTTTTTTTTTTTTTGTTTTTTTTTTGTTTTTTACCCTTACTGTTTACAGAGACTGGGCAAACCAATTAACCCTGGTTTCACTTCACCCTTTTTGTTTCGCTGTGAGAGTTCTGCAGGTAGGTGAACTTTATTTAGGTCTCACGTTATCGTACTCGGAGTAAGATTAAGTGCTAATTGTTTAGTGTATTCTCAACTGTACGAGGATTTTCCATAGAAAAAGACATTAGCTAAGGGAAGTTAGGTCAACAATCAAACCAGAGACGGACCTGTTTCAGGTATGAGCCATTCCAAGTTCTGCTCTAAAAAAGTTAAGCTTAAATTTTGTTCAAATATATCAAATGACACAAACACTATAACACGTTCTTCTACGTGTGAAATGGATAAAATATTTCTATCAGAGGGAAGAGCAGAAAAAGGTAAGTTTTAGTACAGATACAAAAAGAGTCTCGAGGATAGAGAACAAAAAAGTTGCGATTTTCCGTCCGAAGAAGCAATGAAAACCGAAACTACAATCTCTTCACAGGCTCAGTAATTCAGAAAGGTATTGTCGCTACAGTTGTAAGCAAATTAAAAAAAATAATAAAAAACACTTGGTCAATTTTAGTCAAATTCAGAGTTCCTCCCCGGTTCACCTCTAAAACTTATAATCACATCCTCTAGCGTGCGACATAAAATTAAAAACAAACAAACAAACAAACAAACAAATTGGAACCGAGAGATTTTCATCCCTTTGACTGACAGCGATAATAGACCACTTTCATAAATGCTGCCGGATCAATATTCTTTCGTTTAAATTCAAATTAGCCCTTCTGGCCTTTTCTTGAAATAATGTATTCTTTTGAATTTTGTACTGGAGAACGAGGCCAGAAGGGCTAATTTAAATTTAAACAAAAGAATATTAATCCGGCAGCCATGTATGAAAGTGGTCTATATTTTATCCTCTTGTTGGACAAAGTCAGCATTACTAGTCAAAGTTGCCTGTTTGAAGAATAGCGCATCATATAATTGACAATCTAACTCATGACTCTACACTTCTGGAATTATTTTCAAGGTTATTGTTACAAAAAATATTCAATGTTTAAAAATTGCCACTAAGAGGTAAAGCATTTATACAGGGTCACTTGTTCTAGCAGGTAAAAATTCCGATGAGCCCAATCAAAAATATTCACTATATTATTTTATAAGGTTAAAAGCTCAGCAGTATGAAGATATTTTTAGATCTGATAAAGAGCTTTCTTCACGTATTCCTTAAAAATAGTATTGAATCAAGTTCCTGGGTGTATTTTTCTGCTTTGTTTATTTTTATTTATTTTTCTTATAAAACCTGCCATGGGTCACAAAGTAACCTTTACAGTTTGCCTCGCTCCAAAATCTTCCTTGTAGCTCATTGATTTTATAGAGCTGTACGACTTGTTTTTGGGAGACGGCGTAGACGACTTACATAAATGGCTGCCGGATTAATATTCTTCCGTTTACATTTAAATTAGCCCTTCTCGCCTCGCTGGAGATAAAGAATTCTTTTGAATTTTGTACTGGAGAACGAGTTCAGCAATTAAGGCTAATTCAAATTTAAACAAAAGAATATTAATCCGGAAGCCATTTATGAAAGTGGTCTACTATTCATTTTCAGGGCTTTGCTAATATAAGACTATCGGCACCATAACTTGAAAATTTTGCGCTATAATTCCAACTTTGCAAATTGAACTCGTGCCGAAAGAATAATTTCTCGCAAAAAAATAGTATCACTCTATAAACCGCTTGAAGTTCACTACTTCAAGTTGAGGAAAAGTGATCGGACTCTATCGAAATATCCATCAACTTAACGGCCTGCTCCCAGTTGCCTTGTTAGCTCAATTGGTAGAGCGCTGCACTAGTATCGCAGAGGTCAGTGGTTCGAATCCCGTACAGGCCTGATTTTTTTTCAGGTCTCATTTTCGCTACTGCATAAATAGCGCTATCTACTGCGAAGGATCGTGCATCATACACATTTGATACCGCAGTTCAAAATATATGAACCTCATATATTCATTGTATCAGATCATATACAATGTTACTCCTTTCTGCTTATCTCAGTTCAGTCAGGAATTTGAAACCGTTACGTACTTTTTCCTCTTGTAAATGATCCCCTGCTTATACACAAAATCGCATAAATTAGTTAGAAAAAGTCTGTTCCCGCGGCACAAAACACATTAGGGACCTTAAGAAACCACGACGGCGATGGCAACGAGGACGGGGAAAAACAAGAGATCTAATTGGCAGAACAATAACTCAGCACGTGCGTTTTGTTTTGAAACTTTGTACATTTCTTAGCCGTCCTATGCAAAACAACAACGTGAAATCGCTAAAATTTGCGACGTCTGCGAACCGAAACCGCGACAGCAAATTAATTTAATTTCCATTTGGAACTCAACGGCTCCTTTATACGTCATGCTGAAATTGAGCTGTGGCGTCGTATGCAGCCATTTTTAAAATTCTAACTAAGAGTAGAAATTCATTTTTTAAACGAAGTCTCCCTTGGCGTCGCCGTCGTGGTTACTTAAAAAGGGAGCTTAAGCACCAGGCGTTTATGGTTCACGGAGGCGAACCGGATGTGAGATTTCGAATATTTTTTCCTTCTGGGCATGTCAAAAGGTCGTCGTGATTTGTCACGGCGGCCGCCAAGGCGCTTGTGGCCTCCGTGCTGATTTTCCACGACTGCGAATGGTCTAGATTGTACGTAGAAAAAAAAGCACAACGTTTTCGACACCAAAAAGAGCTTCTGAAAATGGATTCGCACGAGGAAGGGAAAGAGAAGTCTTCGCCGTACATTTTCATTTGTTTTTGTGTACAAATTCATTCGGGAGCTTGTCTGCCGAGAGTTGTCTTGTCACACTTAAATTCGACGCGACCTGTTTACTTGAATACTTGCCTTTCTAGCTTTCTGCACACTCGTCTTTTATTTACAAACTCTTATAAAATATATATTTAACTGACAATTTCAATTTTTTGTTAAAAAACGTACTCATGATATAAACTTATACCGATAGTTTTCTTGGCAACCTCTGTACATGTGACTTGTTTACTTTGTTAAGTGTATGGTTAACAACAGAAACTCAAGTATAGGTATATTCTGGCTCGGAGATTTCATCTGAGTCAAATCGATAGTACAAGCCATAGCTGAATTCGAGGTTTCTTGACGAGTTTTCTTCGAGCAACAGAAGTAGTTCTTCGTCACTGATGAGGTTCATGTCATGGCTTAATAAAAGCATTTCCGCAGCTTCTTTAAATGAACACATTTTCGTTGTTTCAAGTGCGAACGCACAACATAAAGCAATTTTTGTTTCTTTGTTTACATCTCGGGCTTGTAATTTTTATTTTCGCGCGCTTTCTACGCTCGTGTCCGTCGTGAAAAAAAAAAGGAGCCTCCTTAAAGTAAAAAATTCGCGCCAAGAACGCCAATCTCGATCTAGTCCCCTCGCGGCAATATGCCCTCCGTCATGAAGAAAAGCCCTGTTGCTTAAGCTCCCTAAAGTCCATATTATCACGTTAGTATTGAGAACAAAGTTGATTCCTCACAGCTGACTAAATGCATATGTTTTCTTGGGTCATCCTCGGTGTAAAAACCTGACGAGGTTTTCTTTGTTTCATGAGGTATTGTTTTGCTGTACGCTATTGTTCAAAAAGTTTTGTTGTCTTTGTTTTACGTCACTCGTGAGCTTCATAGGTTTTTACACTGAGGATGAGCCGTTTTCTTTCTATCCCCGTATTTCCAGGGAAAGGTGACGTTATGAAGTTGCTGTTCATTGCAGTATTATTGAGCTTTACTTCCAGTATATTCACAGGTAAGTCTTAATCCTTTTCACTCCTAAGATCGCATTTGTAATTCTCTTTACTTTCTGCCTTACATGGTTTAATGATGTACAATGAATATATGAAATTCATATATTTTGAACTACGGTTGTAGATACGTATGATGCACGATCCTCGCAGTCGAGAGCGCTATTTGTGCAATAGCGAAAATCAGACCTGAAAAAAATCAGGCCTGTACGGGATTCGAACCACTGACCTCTGCGATACTAGTGCAGCGCTCTACCAATTGAGCTAACAAGCCAACTGGGAGCAGGTGGTTAAGTTGATTCGTAATAAACCCGTGATGATAAATCAGGTACAATGAATATATGAAATTCATATATTTTGAACTGCAGTTGCAGATGTTAATGATGTTGGGTGGAAGAACTTGGTATTGGATTAACTTAACATTCCCCAATTGATCGTGATTTTTCTTTGTTCTCATCACTTGTTTGCTTTTGTATACACGTACATTTTTGTAAGGAGTCTTTTTCTTAGACTCATCAATGTCACGTGTCTAAATAAAGTTATTCATTCAGTTATTCATTCATTCATTCATTCATTGTGTAATTATATTGAAAGGAGAAATTCAGTCTTGGCCACTCATAGGAGTTCAAGGGTGAAGAACCTATTATGCTTATGTTGTTTCCAAAAATGTTTTTCAAAGCGAATGTTTATGAGGCATTAAGACTGCTTGAATATAAAGCAGCAGATACTTTCTTTGTTCAGTGCTCTCGACACAAGTTGACTTTCGACTACCGTGCTTAGAATTTATTTTCGTCTCCATCTTCTTGCTTTTAAAAGAATCATCAACCGCTCCAGAAATCGCAGGAAATGATCCAATCGTGCTCCCTACAGGAAGTAAGTTGATATAAACTATTTTGGAGACACCAGCAGCCGTAAATAAATTCCAATAAAGAAATATTGGCTATATGTATAAAGGAAATGTTTTGGCGACAGTTTTGCTATATTGGAACTAATATGACAACGCAGTCTAATAATCTAAACTTATGTATACGCTGTTTGAAAAAAAATCTTTGATCTACGAGGCTCCTCGTTAAGTTCTGACTGACTATGTTACTGTCAGACTTATGCTAACAGTTGGTATGAGCGAAATGGCATGATTGTAAATCCAGACAAGCATTAGGCAATGGTGATTGGTGCGAATAGTCGGAATATGAATTTTTATTTTCCTGTTAAGAATTCAATTGAATTATTTGGAGTAACCATCGACAAGGATTTGAGCTTTAATTGTCACATCTCACAGATGTGTGAAAAGGTTAATAAACAATTTAGTGTTCTTAAGAGATTTAAAAACATTATTACCAGTAATGTAATGCTGCGTTTATATAAAGCTTTTATTCCACCACACTTTCAATATTGCTCTATTATTTGGCATTTTTCTGGCACTAAAAATTGTGATAAATCTTTGAACAAACGTATTTTACGATTTATTTTTAATGATCCACTGTCTTGCAGTAAATGGTTTGAACCCGGGGGTAACATGTGAAGGTGTAGTCTGATCGTCCGGGTGAGTGTAGGACTACACTCACCCGGACGATCAGACTACACCTTCAGATCCACTGTCTATTTATAATGAATTATTAAAGAAAGCAAAGATAGCACTCTCTATTCTGGAAGACTTTACAAAACTCTAATGGTAGTTTTCAAGAGCTTATTTGTTTCTATGTATCCTGGATATCTAAAAGAACTTTTCGTTCGTCGTAATTCCAGTTATTCACTAAGAGGAAAGAATATTCTGACTCTACCTATACCAAAAACTACAAAATATGGTCTTGAGTGCATTCGATATCAAGCAGCAAAAAGTTGGAATTCTCTCCCGGACAAAGATTTTAAGATAGCCATAAGGAAAATGAACTTTTAGTAGTAATTTTTAATCATTGTATTGGTAGTAGTTAAATTTATAATTTGACTGGATGACTTATGTATTTTTCATTCTCGAAGATATTAGCTCGATAGAGCTACTCTGAAAATTCGAGTTAAAATAAAGTATATGTATGTATGTATGTATGTATGTACTTACTAACTAGCGATTGACTGGCTTTTTCGACGAATGACTGACTGTCTTACTGTCAAACTGTGTTACTGTCAGACTTTCTGACTGACTGACTCACTCACTATCAGTCGGACGTACGGGTTGACCTACTGACCAGCGACTGACTGGCTTTCTCATTGTCAGACTTATAGACTGCTCGACTGTCTTATTGTCAGACTGTGTTACTGTCAGACTTTCTGACTGACTGACTGACTGACTCACTCACTCACTATCAGTCGGACTTACGGGCTGACCTACTGACCAGCGACTGACTGGCTTTCTCATTGTCAGACTTACAGACTGCTCGACTGTCTTATTGTCAGACTGTGTTACTGTCAGACTTTCTGACTGACTGACTGACTGACTCACTATCAGTCGGACTTACGGGCTGACCTACTGACCTGCGACTGACTGGCTTTCTCATTGTTAGACTTACAGACTGCTCGACTGTCTTATTGTCAGACTGTGTTACTGTCAGACTTTCTGACTGACTGACTGACTGACTCACTCACTATCAGTCGGACTTACGGGCTGACCTACTGACCTGCGACTGACTGGCTTTCTCATTGTTAGACTTACAGACTGCTCGACTGTCTTATTGTCAGACTGTGTTACTGTCAGACTTTCTGACTGACTGACTGACTGACTGACTGACTGACTCACTATCAGTCGGACTTACGGGCTGACCTACTGACCAGCGACTGACTAGCTTTCTCATTGTCAGACTTACAGACTGCTCGACTGTCTTATTGTCAGACTGTCTCGCTCTCCTACGTACGGATTGAGGATTTACTGAACAAGATCTGATTAACTGTTTCACTGTCAGAACAACAGACTAACAAACTGACCGACGACTGACTAATTGACTGACTGACTGTCTTCCTGTCAAACTACTTCAGTGATTGACTGTCTGGCTGCCGGAATGACTGTGAATCTGATAAACAGACTGACGGGCTGACCGACTGACTGTTTTTTTTTTTGTTTGTTTGTTTGTTTGTTTGTTTCTTTCGATTCTTCGTAACTTGCTTGCTTAAGTTTTTGATGTAGTCGATAATTTTTCAGGGCTGAAAATCTTTCTCCAACAGCATTCTCTCAGCAAGAAGTAAACGGCCTGAACGAACATAATCGCTTTCGTGCGATACATGATGCGCCACCCATGAGTCTTGATCGTGAAATGTGCGATTCCGCTGCCCAGTGGGCCAAATACATCGCAGAACAAGGCTCTCTTAAACATTCAACTGAAGATCAGAGGCCAAACCAAGGGGAGAACCTATCCATGGGATGCTCCTCAGACAAAGCTCAAACAGTAAAGGAGGCCGTCACAAACTGGTAATTTGAGTACGATTCCCATTCTGTGTCTGCTAAAACAAACGGTCTATGTCGCAGTGATCTGACCATGGTTTTTAGACAAAATCTAGACCAGCACGGCCGAGATCATTTTCGAGAGATCCCCCTCGCCCTTATTTACTGGTAATTATTGTTAGACAGCGGCAGCACGATAATGAGCCCGAGCGAAGACCAAACATGAATAGCGAAGTCCAAGGTGAGGTTTCACTTTTCATTCATCTTACTTTTAGGTATAACGAGGTTTGTACTCCCGGCTACTATGGACTGGGCGAGTTAGAGACTGGGCCCAGTAAAGCAGGGCACTTTTCGCAGGTTGTCTGGAAAGAGAGTACCAAGCTTGGGATCGGTCGCGCAGAGATTGAGCAAAATGGAATGAAGTGTGCGTACATCGTTGGCAGATACAATCCGCCCGGAAATGTTCAGGAATCCTATAAACAGAATGTTCTCAAAGGGTCTTTTAACCGAGAAGTCTACTGCCCAACAGCAGTGAAAAAAGATGAGATGAGAACGGATTAACCCTATCAGAGGGTGGCCTACTGCTATCATTTCAAGGAAAAATAATGGGTCCAATCATTTTCCTTGTTGCTACATAATCATTGGAGTGTATGATGATAAATCACACCTACGATGGCGTAGAACATCCCAAGCTACATGTACACTTGCAAAAATTTCTGGCCAGACATTGCCAAGACTGACAGACTTGTGGTTACTTATTAACCGTGTGGTAACAGTTTGAAAGCGCGCTCAGCTAGGCCTTTATAGATTATGCTAGTAAAAGTAGCATGTTATGCTAGTAGCACTGCTTTCTTTAGGCAAAATTATGCTAAAATTTTTGCGAAATTTTGATTGTCGAAGCTAAGAAAGTATCATTCATTATCATATTGAAAACAAAACCTCATTAAAATTGCTTTCAACGCACTTGGTGGCAGGCGTGTTTTAAGGTGCGTTGAAAGTTAATTTTTTTGAGGTTTTGTTTTCAATATGATTATGCTAAAATTATGCTCTTTTTTCCAAATTATGCCCCTTTTTTTTAAATTATGTTCTTTGAAAAAATTGCAAATAAGTCCAAAAAATACATTTTTTAATTAGAAGCCGTTGGTCTACTAGAAAGAAACGCAACAAATCCACAATGAAATTCAAATAAACATGTGGTTCATGCAGGAGCCTGGTTCATGTTAACTTGCACACTAGGAGTAGACTATACAGGGCCTAGAATGTGACTTCCGGTTCCGGTGTACCCAGACCCGGGCTAAGACCGTTTCAGACGCCGCTCAGTGATTCACAGTGAACTACAAATGCTACCACTTGAATTAAAACTTAAAACATCGAATAACGTCACCAAGTGCTTGGGAGTAGAGATGAACAATGATCAAATTGTAGCATCAAAAATGATCCGATAATTATCAAAATATGCGAAATATGCTAGCAATGCTACTTGGCAGAAATTATGCCAGTTTGCTCAAATTATGCCAAAAATTAAGCTAGCATAATCTATAAAGGCCTACGCACAGCTCTTAGAATCCCCATCCAAGGACATCTCTTTCATATATTTGCTAATGAAAATGACCACGATTGTAATCTTGTGATTTATTTCTTCATTAATTTATTAACTGACGATGTCACTAATGTTGAACAATTTCTGATCTTCGTCTTCCGCCATATTTTTTCAGGGGGCGGTTAGTAAAGAATTTTAATCTACCTGTTACTTCTTGCAATGAAGAATTACGTTTGGGTCGTCATTTAAGTTGTATGTTCTAGTAACTCTTTCTGTTACACGAGATAAACCCCTTAATTAAATGCATTTTTTATTCCTATTTTTCCTATTATTTTGTGCGTTTAACAATACAGACAGTTCCAAGTATTTTCATTTGGGAAATATACACGTTTTCGCTGGAAAATTTGAAAACAATCTCTCTGGAAAATAAAATTACAAGTTAGTGAAGTAGAGTGATGGCAGTACTCAACATACTTCCGTATGTTGCGTTAGCCTGTTTTACCCTTGTCCGTTAGTTACAAACCGCAGAGAAAATTCAGTTGACACAGAGTAATCCACGCAGTCACTCTTAAATAAAACAATTAAGATTTAAGATTTAAAAGATTTAAAACATCTTGAAACAGAACTTCCTGCAAAATTACATAAAAACAAGTAAATCATCAGCCAGTAAGGGGTTCCGAAACCTACACATGGATTGTAAGTAATGCGTGACTGGTACGATAATTGTATCCAAACAAAGATAACTTCTGATCAAGGTCTCCGCAGACGAAGATAGGACAGAGAAAAACTAATTCAGCGTGTATGATATAAAATTTACCCAATGGAATAATTCGGTAATCAAGCACAGTGGGTTGTGTGGATGAAATTGGAAAAAAAAATCGTTGCGTGACTCGAAGCTACTCTATATCTAACCATGATTCTTGATCCTGTGACCAAAATCCCGTGCCCAAAATCCCGTGCCCAAAATCTCATGACCAAAATCCCATGACCAAAATCCCGTCACCAAAACCCCGTGACATTTTGCTGCTGACTTGAAAGGGAAGCAAAGAACAGATAACTCGCTTACCAACAGAAATGCTTCTGATATTCCTGCTCGCGAGCGCTTTTGTCCACTCTGTAACTGCAAATCTTTTGCCGATTTCAGTGAACCCAGCCAGGCAACGGCTTGTAGATAGTTTGGGTCGCGAAGTCTTCTTTCACGGCACAAACGTTGTCGCGAAATCATTTCCGTGGCACCCTGAAATCGAAGGCTTCAGCGACGGAACGTTCTCCGAACAAGACATGAAACTTCTGCAGTCGCTTGGCCTGAATGTTGTTCGCCTCGGCTTCATGTGGCCAGGACTAGAGCCAACGAGAGGGAAATACAATGACACCTACATGCAAGTTATGCAGCGAATTGTTTCGCTTTCAGCAAAATACGGTATTTATGTCCTATTAGACATGCATCAGGATGTATTCTCTAGAATGCTGTGCGTGGAGGGCTTACCAACCTGGGCTGTGAATACAGGGAACGCGAAAGGATTTCCAGAGCCGCTTCATGAGCCTTTTGTTCTAGACCCGAAGACAGGTATGCCGTCTGATGAGGATTGTGCAAAGTTTGTGTGGTCAGATTACTATGAGACCGAAGCGACCAGCGTTGCTTTTCAAAGTTTGTACAACAATACGGACGGTTTGTTGGATAGCTGGGCCGCCTTCTGGGCCAAAACTGCTTCGGCGTTTAAAAGTTTCTCCAATGTTATTGGCTACGAGCTTATCAATGAACCCTGGCCTGGAGACATTTACGCAAATCCGCTGCTTCTTGTTCCAAATGTAGCAGATAAAATGAACTTAGCTCCCGCCTACGAAGTTCTAAGTAAAGCTATCCGACAGCACGATGAAGAACACTGCATCTTCTTCGAAGGAATAACTTGGGATGACTTCGGCGTTGGCTTCAACGCCGTACCAGGCGGGGAGGTGTATCGAAACAGAAGCGTACTCAGCTACCATTACTACATTCCCCCCTCCCTTGCTCTGAATGAAAACTTCGAGGCGCGCAAAAAGGATCTGGAGAGGTTAAAATGCGGGGGAATGATGACAGAGTTTCAGGCCAATGGTAGAGATATCGAGCCTATGTTTAAAACCATGGACGCTGCTGATAGGTACCTTCAGTCGTGGATTGGTTGGAACTATAAAGCTTACCACCCCTCCCGTCCCAACCTGAAAGGAAACAAGTGTTGTGCTCTATGGAACGGGACAGGTCTCGATCAAGTTTACGTTCAAAACACAACTCGTTCTTACCCTCAGGCCGTCGCAGGATACACTGTAAAATTCAGCTTCGATGTGTCCTCTAAAGAATTCGTTTTAGTGTACGAAGTTTCTGAAACGTGTCATGCAACCGAATCGATGGTATATTTGAACGAAGAGGTTCACTACCCATCTGGCTATACCGTGACTGTCACGCCATCCTCTGTTAAATGGTATTCCACGACAAAAAACATGCTTACCTTTAATCATCCGACGTCTTTGCCAGTGGGGTCTATTGTAGCGATCACAATCAATAAAAAATGACACGGAGAAATGAACATACACTGATGCAATGACAATTATGTCATCAGTTTTCTGAGATGTTGACAAACAGACCAGTTCACGGAAATGATTAATCAAACAATAGAGGGCTAAATTAGACTACAGTTCATTTTGGGGCTTGAGTGACTCGTTACTAGGTCGTAAAATGCGTTTGTCTTCGAAAAACTGTTCAGCTCTTTGTCGCAGACAACTTTTAACATGTTCATCGATATCATCCTCGTCTTTTTCTTAACCCTGTAACCGTAAGAGTGTGTATTTCTTAAAAATCAAGAGAATAAAAGAAATGACCAACAACCAAAGAAGCTCCCAATTATTTCACAAATTATTCTTGTCGGCACCTCAGGAAATGAACAGAAAACAATATAGAGAATATGCAGACTGGTGATAGGACGTTATCGATTTGTCATCATAGTGATGACGCACCCGCCCTCTTTACGTTTTGACCAGTCGCTTACTCAATTTTATTCTCATGTCAGATACTACAGTAATGTTGTAGTGTCGTAGTAATAGCAAGGGAGGGGTGTGGGTGGATTGGTGAGGTGACTCTTTTTCCCCTCAACCAGGTCTGGGTGGGGATCCTAATTGTTTCAAGGCTTAACCTCGGGTCTTAAATACTCCTAATGTAGGCCCGTGCACGTATTGTGGACATATTCCCCCTGAAAAATATCACACATTGCAACCCCTTTATGCACTTTGAACGAACGTGTGGAAGCTTCTTACTTCTTTCCAAATCTCTCTTATTTCTTGTCACACAAGGCCCACCCCTCCCCTGGCGGGAAAGAGGGCAGGTTGCGAGACAAGGTCAAACAACGGCAGTGAAGGATACCGGGAACCCACTTGACAGTGGAGACGACAATAACCCATGTTTCCTGTGGCAGCATTTGTCACCGTGTAATTTCCCGTTTTAAAAGTTTACATTTTATTTTGTGCTAACTACGACAATTATCTGTTATAGTATTAATGGAACAGCTAGTCTTTATGGGGTTTATCTTCTCCCTGGTCTTCGTATGACACACCAAACTCGTTCACTCTCTTCATATCGACTGGGTACAACCTGCAGACCAATGTGGTTTCCAGTTTAGTTTCCACTAAGTAGAGTCATATTTGAGGCTGACCTTCAGCTTAAAGGGGTTTACAATGTATGAGTTCGGGAAGAAGGCCAAACGCAAAAGATACAAAAGTGAAACAAAAGGAAACAAGCATGGCGAAGGTGGCAAAGATGGAAGAGGATTGCTTACCATCTCTGGTAGAGATAAATAACGAACACAACGTCGTCTCTGAAACAGGCCAGACGGTGAGCGGTTGGCATCACAATGATGAAAGCAAACACATCATCGATGAATGTGTTGAACGCCTGTAACATGCAATCGCACACAACTGTATTTATAAACAACGTTTGTAATCGAACGAGAGACGGTGAAGATAGGGAATAAAAGAGGAAATGAATGAATGAGGAAAGCAAACAATAAAAAATAGGAGGGAGTGGGTCAAACGGAAGCAATATAATGGAAAACAAGAGTCAGCTATTCTACAAAAATCTTTGGCTGATTGATAAGTGCATCTAGCACTTTGTGAAACTACAGGAAAGGAACGAATCAGCAACACCACGGTAGAACTCTACCATACCTGGGAAAAAAAGTGCCCCACGGAAAATTAAGACTTCACAATTTATTTATTCAATCGTTCTCGACAGGCCACAACAAACAAAACGACGTACCTTGTACATAAAAGCTCTCCAAGGTAGATGCGCCACGGACTTCAGCTAAAAGAAAGAATTATGACAATGAGTAATACTCCTGAATGGTATCCACTGACCGCCTTCCAGTTAGCTCAATGGATAGAGCGCTGGACTGTTGTGCGGGAGGTCGAGGGTTCGAGCCCCAGCCGGACCAACACTCGAGGTCTTAAAATAATTGAGACGAATAATGCTACCTTTCTATAACATCAAGAAATGGTAAGACATTCTAGTCTTATTGGATAGGGACGAATAGATGGAGGTCCCGTCTCCTGCAGGGTTAGGGGTATGAGACGTTAATTTCCCACGCACGAGATTACTGTGTGATGGCTGTCCTCCCCTGTGTTGGGATGGGGGGGTTACAAAGAGGTTGGGTGTCAATTGGGACGAAATTTCTGATCCTTTCTCCTGCCATTCCCGTGGCGAATAAATTAAATTCTAAATTCTAAATAATCGATTCGTGGCACTTTCTGATCATATATGATCCTACGAAAGTCTTCCCTATATATCAATTTAAAGTCAAAAATACCCAGCTTTTCATTGTTTTTCCTTGGCTGAGCTCTGTGGTTAATCTCCAAACCTTGCGCTACCTTTCCAAGCAATCAGATGCAAAAATAAGACCAATTCTTTGAATTATCACCAGCTCCCACTTGTCATAGTAATAAAAATGCCTTCCTCTTTCCCTACCTACCTTGTAGTTTACAAATAGTTGAGGCAACATGAACAGGAAACCAAACACATAGACGCCTAAAAAGAAGCAAAAGCAAAGTATGACGCTATCAAAAAACAAGAGAAAACATAACCTTGATAGAAAGGCAGTTTCACACGTCCCCCTAAATAACTCAAACTACCGCGACAAATACAGTGCCTAGTTACTAAATGAGACATTACCCTTTCAACTTCCACAAGTGATTGACATGTTATTTCTCCCTACAACATTCATGGATTACCCAATAAAAGGTAATGAGAATACTCAAATTCATCTGGTAAAAGGGGTTATCTCGATCTAACTCCAAATTCTCCAAACTTATTTACAAGGAAACGAGGAGCAGCTAGAGGGAAGAATTAACAACCAGATCTTGGCTATACTAACCATTGACAAGACTGCGCACAATCCAGGAATACCAACTATGAGGAGAAATAAGGAAAGTCAAATCACTTCAGTCTTCATCTAACTCATGGGAAAGACCAGCATCTAATTTCTCGGGTGAGTCTGAATCCAACATTAAACCCTGAACCCTGAATCCAACATTAAGGTAATGAGAATAAAGGAAAAGATCAACTTAAGAAGCTCTTGATTATCACACAAATTCTCCTTGTCAGTATCTAACGAAATGTATAGAGAACAGTATCGAGAATATAGCATTGCATACTGATGTTAAGGCATAAAGGGTGAATGTTGAAAAACTGGATAAGTTCAATACACATTCATTGTTATCAAAGATCCGCGAGGTGTCCACACTTGATTCATTAGGGACCTTAAGTACTCAGGACGGCAACGCCAAGGAAGACTTCGATTGAAAAATGAATTTCTACTCTTAGTTAGAATTTCAAAAATGGCTGCATGAGCTTGCTGTCTCATACGGCGCCAGAGCTCAACTTCAGCATGACGTATAAAAGTAGCGTTGAGTTCCAAATAGAATTCAAAAATAATTTGCCTTCGCGGTTTCGGTTCGCAGACGACGCAAATTTTGGCCGTTTCACGTTGCTGTTTTGCATTGGACGGCTAAGAAATGTACAAGTTTCAAAATGCACGTGCTGAGCTATTGTTCTGCCGATTAGATCTCTTGTTTTTCCACGTCCTCGTTGCCGTCGCCGTCGTGGTTGCTTAAGGTCCCTATTGTTCGCTTTACGCAGTCAGTAAGTCAGATAATGAATTGAACGAGCTTTGCGTAAAAACCCACTTTCCTTCTTTTCACTTTACCTTTTTTGTGGTTGGTACAGAAGTGAATATACAGCAACAGCTATCACCAGAGGGTAGAGTACATAAGAAATATATCGCATAGCCTGAACAACAAAACCAAACAAGAGAAAACAATGAAACAGTGTAGCACACTGTTTAACTGTCAGTATCACATATTGCGGTTCTACCGTTCTCACTGGTCCATTGAATCTTGATTATCAGGTCATTTCCCACGGCTTGACTTAAAATGGAAACTAACAAAATTTAATATCATTTTTGTTGGTGTGCAAAGATTGCATCACGGTCTTGCTTCCCACACAACTTCCGCGGCATGTCCCAGTTTCTATAGCAAAACACGACAAACCGTATTCATCTTACTTTCCCTGGAAGAGATTCTAATCCATCACGGGTTATGCACCTTCCATTCCTTTCCCCTTCCTCGAGCTTGCAGTTCTCTATTGTCCTTCCCGGTCGTCCTTGGGAAGCAATGTTCCCAAGGCAGAGTGGAGAGAGAGCGATACGTGACACCCAAAACAACGGCAGCGAGGACATCTGGTGGCTCGCTAGGCTACCGTTATCTCAACACTTACTTGGAAAATTAAGTGCGTGTAGATGATTCTTCACACTTTTACATCGTTAAATGACATTTCTCACTCTGTCTTACCTCGCTATCAAACTCCTCAGTTTCTTTCTCTTTAGACGTCCGCTGTCCAAACTTCAACAAACAAGAAACAGTCGAAATGAGAACTTAACTCTATCCGCCGACATCACTGAGTTTTACTTTGAAAAGGACGTTAATAACTGGTGTTATTTATTTTACAATTGTTGTTATATAAAACTGAATATGAAATCTCTCAATTATTACACGCGCTTTAAGTGTGTGCCCGATAAAATGTCCAGTGATTTTTTGTTGCCAGAATCTCACGTTATTTATTGCCAATTGTTGTTTACTTTAGCGGGCAGTTGAAGGAGAAGAGAGTTCAGAAAGAGTCAGTTTTCATTTACTCGCCTGTATTGAAGGTCTTTCGCCTTTCTCCCATTTGATATTGACTTTAAATGCTTTGGTAACCTTCCAAACCTCCAGTAAAAAAAATTATAATAAAAAAAAAACAAAACAAAACAAAACAAAAAACAAGGACGCGAAACC